GAGAGAGAGAGAGAGAGAGAGAGAGAGAGAGAGAGAGAGAGAGAGAGAGAGAGATCAGACCATAACAACAGTCGGAGACGGAAGAATTGAGGGGCAACACTTTAGCAAAAAGGAAAGTGTTTTCTGCACTATCGAAATTCAAATTCAATTTATTGAATGACGGGATTACCCGTCTCGTACCACATCAGAGTAAACACACACAAAGTCGGCCGACTCATGCACCCAACCGGCGTAATACAACACTACAAAGACCACCGACGACAACAATCGATGAGGACACCTTGCCCACGAAGCCGACTACAACGGGAAGCTTCCAACTATCCACCGACTACTGAATTCCAGGGAGCGAGTGCTACACAACACAATGCCAATGAAGTTTGTCGCTCGCGAATAGCCTTTGCTATTTCCATCAACGCCTGGCACATGAGTTTGCTGACTTCATCGGACGCGGCGTAGTGCGTCTTCTGCACCTGCACTTCAGCTTCTAATGCCTCACATTGTCATAGCTGAATGCTGCATTGCCGCTTGCTGGCACTCTCCATCGTGGCCACCATCAACGCACCGTGCTTGTCGATGCACTCCGTCATTGCTTCGAACGTCTGCTGCCGCGTGCTCTTCCTCTTTCCGAAACCATGGGGGCTGCCCGACGTCTAGGAGGAACCACGAGTCGATCCCTCGTCCTCATCTTCCCCCCCCGCACAGGCATCGACATCACCAACTGCTTCAGGATCAGCAGTTGTCGTCGACGGCAAACGCACACCGCCGCGGGCACCATTGTCAGCAACGTTTTTGGGGTTGATGGTTTCGTTGAAACCGCTGGACCCTTCAATCTCGTCGTAAACGGCATGGTCCATGTTGAAATTGAAGCTGTGTCTCACCCTCTCCTTGTCGTTCAACTGGAAGAAGTCGATTACCCCGAACGGCGATTGAAAATGATGAACTTTCTTGAATTACTGCATGAGGTTGTCCCACTTCTTCCCGCATTTCTCCGGCTTCCTGTCGACACCCATATTCTTCAATCTTCTGGCGACGTCATTCCATTTCCACTCCCTCGGCTTCATCCGGGCATAGGCATGCCCCATCCCTGCAAGTGCGCATCCTGATCGCGTTTCGCCCGTATGAGCGCGATGATATGTTCGACACTCCAAAAGTTTCGCTTCTCCTCTGCGTCGCCGTCGCCTTCTCCGTCGTTCGCCTTTGCTTGCGCTTTCTTCGGCTGCCCACGACCGTTCCCGCTCGTTGCCTTTGTCTTGTCGCCCTTCCCTCCCCCGTCGCTGTTCTGCGATGGTGAGGCGTAACCGCCGTTCCCGTCTCCCGCCTCTCCTGCGCCGTCGTCATCGTCGTCTTCGGACGGAAGCCCCTCATGTGGCTCCTCAACTTCTTCCGCCTGCCTGTCCATCCTCAGCCGCTCCACCCCCCGCCTGATTGCTTCCTCTCACCCCTCCCTGATCTTCCGTCGCTCCTCCGCCCACACTAACCTCCCGTCGCGGTCGTCAACGACGTCGTCCAAGTACCCCCCCCCCTCCTCGACAATGCCACGTCGACGTCCCAGGTTGGACGCAGCAAACACCGGAGCCAGGGACTGCATAAACGACAGACGACCTTGCATGCTCCTGGAGATGGAAGTCGCTCGTCCCTGCCACTGCTGCACGCCTGCGGATTTCGATGATCGGTCCGCAGCGGTTAACTGCCCGTCGTCGTTGCCGACATGGGGATTGACGATCACTGTGTGCGTCTGGCTTCCACACCTCCCTGTAGACAGACCGAGACACGTTCGATTGGCGATGCCCTTCTTCCCCGTCGAGACCAGGCGCCAGCAGTTAAGTGAAGGACTGGCCGTGCACGCTGCCACTGCCGCCGCACAGCTCCGTCCAAGACCATTCCTGCGTAGAACCACTACCCAACGGCACAGTGCATGCCCGTCCCTCCCTCTCCTCCTCATTAGATGAGTCAGGGAGGGGTTGCAAATGCGGCGGCAGTGATGAATTACCGATCCCCAACGACAACCTGCAAGTTGGAGAAGAACTCCCAACGGCACGCCTGCTCACAACCTGCTCCCCTCCTCCCCCGGGGGAGCCCTGTCCACTATCCGTCCTGACGGCCTTCATCGGCGACGTTCGTCTGCGTCGACGGCGCGGCGCGTTCCCGACAAAACACACGTGCAACACTACGATGACGACCAGTAGGAAGACGGCGAGAAGCAGCAGCGAGAGCTTGAGAAACATGTCAGCCATGCGACGGACGACGGCAACGGCACTAGACGGAAGAGAACATGGCGGACAACGTAACTGCCACGTCCTGCACACGGCGACACACGCTTGGCGACAAACAGAAGCCGTCGTCTTGTGGACGCGCTGTGCCGCCTCAAATATTCGCATTTGCCGACCGTTGGCCGGTTTCCCGCCACGGCTGAAGCCCAACCCCAAGTTGCAACGCGGTGTGCACCTTGGGGATGCTACCGGCCCGCTAACGGTTACCGTTGGCGTGGACATCGGGCCTCTTGAACGTTTGCGACCCAACATGTCCGTGCGCAAGTCGCCCGGACCACTGATGGACCAGACGCCGGCGACAAAAGAAGTCGACTGAGGTGCCGTCGAAGAGCGGGTTCTTCCCGATGGGGGAGCTCCGAGGATCCTACCGGAGGTTCCTTGAGGAAAATTGAAAATTGCCTGTGCCCCGAGGAATCCCCGAGGAATCCCCGAGGAAATGTTTTCACTTTTTTTTTTCTTTTTCTTTCCCCGAGGACAAGTGGAACGACGATTTCCTTGGGGGATTTCAGCAGCCGAGGAGTGTCAAACGAGCCCCTATGTTGGGCGGGTTTCGTTGGTGCATGGTAAACGGACTACTGGGACCAGTGCCGTACCCCCGTTCACCGTTCACGGGGTCTGTGAACGGAGCTGGTCATAGAGTTCACGGAGTTCACGACACGGGAGTTCATGGAGTTCACGGAGAGCGGTATGTTTTTTTTTTCTTTTTTTTTTGGCTGGGGGTGTTTTTTTTTTTTTAAATAGGTGGGTGGGGGACATCAAAGGGTAACTCCCTATAATTTTTTCGAAATTGTTTTTCCATGAATAATAATTGTTTTTTAATTAAAAACGAAAAAAAAAAAAATCCACCAGCCAAAATAAGCATTTTCTTTTGCTATTTTGTAGGTCATTTCGATTTCTTTTTTTTTTCAATGTCACCACGCTGTAGGGCTTGAGGTGAATGTACCTGGGGGAGCCCCAAAAAAAAAAACAAAAAAAAAAAAACACACACCACTCTTTAGTGGTCGGCCGGTTCACCATGAACGGTCGTTCACAAAAAAAACACCAAATGAACGGCCGGTCACGTTCAAGTGACCGGTGCCGGTCATGTTCATGGGTCCGGCACTCACCGGCACCGAAAGACGTCGGACAGTTGCCGTTTGTGTGGCATTGACTGCCACACAGGACCGCACTGAGCCCAGCAGTATGGGGAATTCTCACGGTTTTCCCGAACGGGCAAATCCCCCCCACGCGCCATGGACTGGCACACAGGGCCGTCGGGGGGCCACCGAGTGTCGAAGGCTTGGCTGTTTTTGCAAACGGGCAAATCCCCCCACGCGCCGACTACCCTCTGCCCGCGTACACCTCTGAGTTGTGGCGGCAATGGCCTTCGATGACGTGGCACTTCGTCCACCTGCTTCGCCTCGACGTGCAAGATGACCGCCTGCTACCGCCTGGAATGGCCTTCGTCATGGTGGCACTTGGTTGCATTTCGTGACGTGCCTTCACGCTGAGGAAGCTGAAAGCCGTTGCACTTTGTGACGTGCCATCGCGCCGCGTCTGATTTTTTTTTATTTTTTTTTCACGCCTGTGCTCCCCTCATCGAAGGCTCTCTCTCTCTCTCTCTCTCTCTCTCTCTCTCTCTCTCTCTCTCTCTCGCGCGCGCGCGCGCGCGCGCTCGCTCGCTCGCTCTGTCGTCCTTGTGGCACCCATCGGCCGTCTCGACTGTCAATGGCACTTGCAAGCCTTGTTTTTTTCTTTATTTTTTTTTTTTTGCCTGCCACGTGTCCTCTCTCTCTCTCTCTCTCTCTCTCTCTGATCCTCGTGTCACCCGTCGGCCGTGTCGACGGTATCTTTCCCCGTGCAAGCTATTTTTTTGTTTTTTTTTTTAACTCTGCCACGTGTTCAATCTCTCTCCCTCTCTCTCTCTCTCTCTCTCTCTCTCTCTCTCTTTTTTCTGCCAGCCGTCGCGGGTGTCCAAGGCTCTCTCTCTCACTCTCTCTCTCTCTCTCTCTCTCTCTCTCTCTCTCTCGCTGTCGTCCTCGTGGCACCCGT